CAAATAAGAGCTCAATAAATTATTAAATGTATAAGCTTTTGTAAAAACTGGAGAAGGACTGCTGGCACTACAACCTGCTAAAGCCCTGCTGTTGGTTTTCACACTAAGTCTTCTATCTCTATCTTGTGACAGATAATCTCAGTAATCAAAATCTCACAGAAGCATTCTTTAAATTAAGGAAGTATCCTGATGTAAAAAAATTGCAGTGATTAATAAATAAATCTCTATTTTTTTTAGTCCAAAAGAAAGAAATAATTTTCAGCACTAAGGCTGCTCTTAAAGACAGGTACATGTGAGGAAAATATGTCTAAAAAGGGGGAGGGGAAAATCTGTGCCTTTTTCCAAGCTGTTTTGATTATTAACAACTCAGTTTCAAGATAAATTCCATATGGATAAGATACACAGCATGTTTACATTTGACGTTTACAGCTGCACTTAGGTAATTTTACAGATGTATGTATAGATAAGCACAGGGGCAGCAGGGATACAGCAAACTGCTTCATACAGAGATGGAGATTTCTGATTTAGTTGCCTAGCAATAAGATCTGACTCCTGGAAGCTAACAAATACTGATTAGAAAACAGAATAGAATTATTTAATCTATCACATGCATTATACAAAAAGGAGCATAAGGCTATTGAGGAAATGAAAACATTAGGCCAGAAAAAAATAAATTCTATTCAGTGAAATTTATCCAGGAAATATGTAAAACAAAGAAACTGCAACATTTAGATTAAAGAAAGCATCAGCCTGCTCATTCTGTCAATACTTTTCATCATTCTTCCTTTAGCAGAAAGTCCAATTCCATCTTGGCTAATGGATCTGACTTTTGAATTGCTGTGTTTAATTTTGTCCAGTCTTCTCAATAGTGCTTTAAAGCAGGAGACAGAGAGAGAGATATTTTTAAAAATTGAATAGGATGAACATGATGGCATTTCTCTTCTTGGGAAACACAGCATGGTACTAATGGGAAGTTTGATGACATTTACTACACTGGTGGAGAGAAAGAAGTCCACATTTCTGTTTTACTTTTTACAAAGAGCTTTCAAACTGCCCTGATGCCTTTTAGCACATTTATAAGGTCTCTCTCAGCTCCTCCAGGAATACAAATATTTTTCTTTCAGTACTTTAGCAGTAGAACAGGAAGATCACAAGCCAAGGATAGGCAGCCTACTACAAGTCCAGACAGACCAGGAGTACCCACATCTTGGATCAGTACTAGCACTGGTCTTTCCCCCTTATAGTCTAAATTTAAATCAATAAGTCAACAATAAAACTGGAGAAACAGAGGCCACTGGATAGTATTCCAGCATTAGAAGCAGCATGGACTTGTAATGCACTACTCAGGCATTATTTAAACCTGGAGAAAGAACATGATTCCTATTTCTGCTATTTCCAACCTTTCTTTAAAACATTCTCCTTTAACAAGCCTTTAAAACAGTACTTCCCAAATCTGTTCCTGCTGGAGCTGTCACTTAACAGGATTCCATCTGCTTGGGACAGAAAGTCAAAAAATTTCTCTTGTGTCCTGTTACATCAGCATAAATCTGGAGTAACTCCCCAGACTTCCTGTGTGACGCACTCGCCCGGGGTTTGCCTACACAAAGAAGTAAACATGAAGGAAAATTCAGTCTCAGCCCAGCAGCAACCCTGGCTCACTTATGGTGGAAACATTCTTATCAGACAGAAAAGAAAAGCAGCTTTTCCCACTCTGAATATGGGTTAAACTACTCTGAACAAAGAGAATCCTAGTAAAACCCAAAGGTATAATGAAGTGCTTTACAAAAATAAAGTTTTTATTTTTTTAAAAAACAATCTTTCAGAAGCAGCATGTCTTCCATCTAGTCATAAATATGCTTCTTCTCAAACTTTCCCTAATTCAGTTTAGAGGTACTTTTAGACACTGGACACAGCTTTGCATTTTGGCATGTGGTCTCCACAATGTGACCCTTTTTCAGTTGCTCTTCCACTAGCTCCTCAAACGCCTTTATTTTTTGTTTACTGAGTGGCCACTGTTTCACCTCAACTGGTTTGTCTGTTTTCCACTTCAGTTTTTGGGTGGGGCTCTGTTGTTCAATGGCCACTGTACAAAAATGCTGTGGAGAGTCTGGAATATTGATTGTGACACTCCACTGAGCCATCAAATCTCTCCCTAACAAAGGTTCCCAATAATCTAACACAAATGGACAGATATTTGCCAATTGTCCATTTGGTCCCTCGATTTGGATGATGCTTTTGGGTTGTCTTGCCAATTGCAGGCCTCCTACACCTTGAACGTGACCAGCAACATTTTGCAAAGGCCAATGTGCTGGCCAGTCTTGTACTGGGATCACTGTGCAGTCTGCACCCGTGTCTACAAGCATCTCAATGCGTTTTGACTCCCCACCCCCATTGACATTACCCCATAAGTTGGGTTTGTCTTTCCCAATAACTTGGACCTGGGCAACTGTGGGCCCTTGTTTTTCAGTGCCTTCAGGCAAAAACAGCACAGGAGTAGCTTGTGCGACAATTTGTCCTTTAGGAAGAAACAGGGGTGGGTGGAAACAGTGCAGCCCGAGAACGAATTGCTCAGGATCTGGTGTTGTCATTCCTGGAGCAATTTCAATCTCATGTGGTGTGTGTTTGGTGTCCCCAGTGACGATGTACTTACAACGAATTCGGTGCCAAGTGCCCTTCTGTTCTGGGTTGCCAGAGACAAAATGCCAGTCAGTGTCTTTCAGGTGGAGTGATTCTGTCAGCTGCAACCTGTAAGGCTCATTGACAGAAGACATAGTTAACATAGGTTCACCTAAATCAAAACAAAGGTTATTTTGTTTCACTTTCAACCGTGGACCGGCAGACGTGGTCTTTGAAGCATCTGCTTCACTTACAGAAACAGTAACATTACCGCGTGCTTGGTTTGTTTTGGTTCCCTTATTTCCTTGGCCTGCTCTTTTTGTGTCTGCACGCCTGGCAGGCCGGCGCTCCCCTTTCAGTTTTTTTGGTTGTTGTTGACCCCCTGGGAGTGCTTGTAATTTTCCTCCCGTGCCATTTCTAAATTCATCAAATTGCTTTTTCAGGGGGTGCTGGTTACTCCAATGCCCAAGGCTGTTGACTGGGAATTCATGCCCTATTTTATCCCAAAATTGAATATTGTGAACTTCCTCAGGAGAAGTTTGTGGGAAGTGTAGAAAATGCCACCTTACAAACTGTGTCAATTTTCCTTTAGAGAACTTTACATTTGCACTAACTAAAATTCCAACAATATGATAACACACCCCTTTTTGTGCTGTGCTTAACTTCGAGCCCATTTCAGATGTAAATGGCACAGAACAAAATCCCGCCGACCGATTACAAAGCCAAAATCAGCTACCGATTTCTAAAACGACCACGGTTAAAAAGCCATAACGATCAGACCAAAGCTTTCACAATGCAGCTGTATATACTGCTTTTAAAACTGCCGCGGCAGCAGCAGCAGCAGGGAATGGGGACCCGCCCCGCCGCGTCGAGACAGACAAAGCCTCCCCTGCCCGGGAACGCAGCCCCCCCGCGCCGCGCCGCAAGCCGAAACCGGGGCCGCCCCGCGCCGGCACCGAGAGGGAGCTCCCCTCCCGCACCGAGAGCCGGGCACGCTGCGCTGCCGAGCCGGGGGCAGGGGCAGGCAGAGCTGTCCCGCTCCTCCGACTGACGGCGGCGCCAATTCTACAAACAGCAAAACCATGCCGCAGAGTTAAAGCTTTACAGGGGATTATCGCCTTTGCTCCGCAGGGCTGTGCAGCCTAAATGCAAGAGGAAAAAAGAACAAGTCTTGTGGCAGAGACGGAATTTGAGCTTCTATTCCCCAAGGAGCAGAAATACTCACCGAAATCGAAGCTGGCAAAGTCAGGCAGGCTGGTCTCTTCACTTGAATAGGACCCCTCGGGCAGGAGGGGCTCCCCTATTCTCCCCTGGAAAATTCGCTCACCAAAAGGAGCTGCACTTTCCAGAGGCGCCGAGTATTCCACGAAACTTCTTGTGGGATCAGTCCCAAAGTTTCTCTGAAGAGCTATGCATCCAGAGCTCTAACAGTGGACCTAAGCTGCTTTAAAGCTTTTCCAAGGTTCTGAGATTCCTTCTGGGGCTGCAGGTTCGTGCAGCCACACGTTTGGGTGCCAATATAAGGAATATTAATCCCAATATTTCCGGGTGGTACCTGCCTGGCCCCATGTGACCCTGGCTGCTGGACCAAAGGCGGCAGACAGACCGCATGGTCCCATCTCCTTTTAAGCCCCGGGGACAGGGGGAGGGGAAGGGACAGGTGAGGCACCAACCAGGTGCGAGGAGGAGAAGGCTCAAGAGATAAAGACACTTGGACAGGCCAATGAACCCGGACTTGAGGGGCATCTTTTGAACTTCTGCCAACCACACGACGCCCTTGCTGGAATGTTAAGATTGATGGACAGTTCTGAGCAGGAGGGCAAAGGGGAAAGCAGAGGTTGGCACACCTGGGGGGTTGGATAGGTGAAACAGGAAATGGCATCACACTGCAACACTAAATCATTCTGGGAATACATATCCAATCTCCCTCTTTGCAAGTTATGATGATTATGCATTAGTACAATTATATTGGCTAAAAATATTCCCTGTTCTAAATAGGCCCGTGAAAGCAAAGCAAGCTGTGCTGCTATGGGCACTGCCTCGCTTCCCTCACATTTGTGTGTTTCCTGCACAAACATTCCCTGGTGAAATCTCACTGTCTCTGACCCTTGACTTTTCCAGGCAGTTTTCACTGGCTAACTCTCAAGTCACACCCCAAATATCTTTCCAGATTTTGGAGGGAGAAGCACCTTAAGAGTCCTCTGCAATTGTAACTGCCAGACATATTGTTACACTTGAGAAATCCAGCAAGTCTTCTGAGTCTTAAATTGGGAATCAGGAGGTGGATCTTTAAATATATATATTTTAGTATGTCTGGTTCTGAGCAGCAGGAATCCAGCTGGTGAGTTAAGGTATTGGATGCAGAATTTCAGAAGACAATGGAATGAAAGCAAAATAATTTATTAGATGGAGGACTCCGTGAAATCTACTGCAAAGGATTTTCCAAAGGAAGGGAAAAAAGAAGGGACCTCCCAGGTGGTTTAAAGTGCACCACTGTCTAGAAGGGTTGGAATGTTCTTGCCTCAGCGAATATTGTTAAATCAGTGCCACTCAAAGTCACCTCTACAGATATACAGAAGTTTAATACCAATATTCTGCAAATTAAAATCCTGTACAAAAAAAATACAAAGCCTTCTGCAATGCTCTGACACCATCCATGCTATGTTGTACAATTTAGGCACATATCCAATGTATTATTAGTGCATTTCTCCAAGAGACAATGCAAACAATTCCTATAAAAGTGAATCTGCACAGTATGAATGGGTTTGTTGTTAAGAACATTCTGCTTCAGTAGAAGTGCCAATAAAAATGTTTAAATTAAAAATATAGGTGTATTTTTCAGTTTATGGTTTGGGCTTTGTTTTTTTTTTTTTTTCCTCAGGCCTTTTTTTTTTACAGTACAGCTCTCCTTGAGACAGGCTTCTATCACAGGAAAAACAAAATTAGTACATTTCACATTTGGTTAAATGTGTGTGCCAGCTACTTCATTCAGCAGGTGGGTCACGATGGCTTTGGAGAAAAATAAGGCCCCCCTGAAAAAGCACAGGCTGAAAAAATGTTGGGAAAATGAGAAGGTGCAGGAGGTGATTATTATGTTGGAGAAATTAACATGAAATAAACTAGGGTGCAAATTGTCAGCGCATTACCTCCTCTGCAGTAATTCTCTCCACGGCTGCTTTGGCTCACATTATCTGCATGTCCACACTGCATTAATGGGGCACTCTGAACAAAGCCAGCCCCACGGCCAGCAGGGGATGAGATGCAGGATGCTCTGGAGTGCTGCAGTGCCACACTGCCCCAGCCACCCTGTCACCAGCACTGTCTGGAAGCCCCACCCAGCAGGGCCCAGCCTTGGAATCACTGCAAGGCAACCTATTACACTGGGTGAGTCCTGGTGATTCCAGCTCAGCAACAGCAAGGGAAAGCTTCTTTCCCCTTTCCCACATTTTGCGGGCTCTTCTCATAGGAGGCTGCCCAGCTTCTGAGCTCTCCCATATGTGCAGCAAGGGGCAGCTCTCTTCCTCTCAGCCAGATGCTGCATCTGTGCAGCAGCTCCTGTGCCACAGAGCCTGCAACACAGAGGGTTCCTCAGGACACTTGACAGACATCTCAAAATAACCAGTGGCAGTGCACTCAGGCTGGAATTATGCATCGATTCTGCAAGCTCAGACTTGCAGGAACAAATCCAGAACTACCACTATGCCAATTGGAAACCACCTGATTTGAATTATAGCATCACTGATGTCCAGTGCAAGTGGAGGAGAGAAAAGAGGAAAATACAATGGGGAGGTAGAATTTGGACAAATCACAAAGGATGGATGCAAGGTGGTACTGCAAAGCCATAAAATTACTTTATGCTAGCCATAAAATTACTTTTTGGTTTTTTGGTTGTTTTGTTTGGCTGGTTGTTTTTTGTTAGTTTTTTGCTTGTTTGTTTCTTCTTCTTCTTGTTAGGGGGACAGGGACTGTGGGGTTTTTGTAGGTAAAGTCAAGGGGACAGACTGAACAAAAGATTCCTTAGGGAAATTTTTTACCAAACAAACAATTGGGCTGCTACATTCTCAGACACGAATAATGGTGCCTTCCATACCAAGCAAAGGAATTTAAGGAGAGTGTGAGATATAGAAAATAGAAGGCATTTCACAATTTTTTTGTCCTCTCATTATGGTTCACTGCCCTCATCAATTGTACTTGTGCAGCAGGTCTCTGAGGCTGACAAAGTGTGGCACATGTGAAGGGATGCTATGAGCAGCCAAGCACAGAAACTTCTTTGGTTCCCACCTGCTGAAGCCAGTGTGAGCTATGGAACACCATATATCCTGCTGAATCCTTCAGCATTCAATCCTAAAAAAACAACCACAGCTTTAAGAAAACATCGCTATTCTCTTACTGACCAAATGTCGGGGGATTTTCTGTTGTTATGGTAATAAGTATTTTAAAGTATGCTTTAAAATAAACAATGAAATGTGACACTTTGTCACTATGTACCTACTATGTTTTGCAGGTTTCCCAATCTGTCCTCTGCCCTTCCCCCCCAAATATATATAAATTCTTAGTTTTCATTTACAGTTTAACAGTGTTGAAATGCTTATGCTGGAAACTGAGAATATTCTGCCAGCCAACCAAAAACAAAATCCCTGCTTTCTCTTCTAAGATTTGCAAGTAATTTTTGATTAGTTTTCACTCTGAAAATGTTCAATAACCTTCATTGGTTCTAACATTGGTTTAAATCTTGTTGACTTTGCTGTTTCCTCTGTGCCCATTGTTGCCTCCTTTCAAGCTGGATTCCATGGATTTCAATGGCATTCTGCACAGTTCTGTTCTTGCAGATTTACTTGTTAAATCCAAGCTCTTGCAGTAGTGTGCTCATAGTTCCATGTGGGAAAGTGTCATTATACATAAATTCTGATATGATAAGTATCTGTCACATTTGTGTCACCTTTATTCAACACAAATGAGCTCAAAAGTTACTTTCAGGTAGTTTGTTTGAGATTTCCCATAACACAATCCAGTGAGTAAATTGTGCTTAATGCTCACAGCTATGATATGGTGCAACCTACCTTGAAGAAGCTTCATCCCAGATAAGACGTAATATAAGAACTCCCACATGACAGCCCCCTTTAAGCCTTACATATGTTGAAAGCATTAGGAATGAGGTTGGCTTTGGAAAGAAGCTGGAAGTTCTGCAGGATCATGTGTTTGGACTTGCCATCTGCACGTTCCAGGAGTTACTACATGGATCACTTTCCCCCAGTCATCTGAACCGTGAGTCACACAAACCGAAAGCGGAAGGCGGCTGTGAGAACAAAGCAGATGTGGGTGTTTGTGGGGCTTCTCCTCACCTCTCCAGAGCCCTTCTTTTCTACCCTGCCCCATCCAGGGCAACTACACTTAGACCTTTGGGAAGCCAGGGTGGCAGCCACCTTAGCCACCACCAGGGATGGAGGCCGGGCTGTTAAAGGAAGAAACCCCTCACGGCTGAGTCTCTGGAAGGCTCCATGACTCAAACTTCCACCTCCATCTGGAAGCCTGGCCATCTTTGTTTTGTTTAACTGAGCAGGAACACTCCACTACCTGAGTGCTTACCATGACAAACACAAATGTTTCCCCCGAGCCCCGGTTGTCTGAGGGGGGCCTGCAGCCCCGGACAGGCCGGTTCACGGCCAAAAGTACATGCAGGGAAATAGTTTCCAAACCCCAAAAGCAAACCTGAAACTGGATCCGTACAGACAGGCTCCTGCAGCTCAGATAGCAAACCTCCTCCTCCGGGTCTGACTGCAAACCCAGGGCTACCGTGGGCTATCGGCTAATTTTTTTACCTCAGCCAAATCCGAAATGTGGGCTGACGGAGGGGGCTTAAATAAATATATTAAACAAATTTTTTAAAATCCCAAACAGAAATCTTACGAACATATATGTTAGCATACATAGATTAAAGTACCCTTCTGTGAAAACGCCTGAAGCTCGCACGGCAAGCCCCTAGCACTGGAGCTCTGTGAGGGCTGCAGCTCGGCAGCAAACGGCGCGGGGACGCGGTGGCCAAGCGGCCGCCATGCAGCGGCTGCGCCACTTACGCAGGCCCCAATGCCCTGCGCGGCAGCGCCAGCAGCCCCTGGCGTAGCAGGATTCGTGAATACCGATGCTGCACTGCGGCGGCGGCACGGCGCAACCAAACCTCCTCCCTCCGCCGCCCACCCCAGCCCTGGCACCGCCCCCTTCCTCGGCTGTGATTGGCAGGACCGGTGGAGCGGTCGGCGGCGATTGGCGGGTGCCGGCGGGAGGTGGGGTAGGTTGCGTGAAGGGTGATAAAGTTAGTGGGGCTGCCGGGGAGCGCCCGAGACGCGGCGGCGGCGGTCGGCGCTCTATGGAGGTGGCGGGGGGAGGCGTCGGGTCGGTGCTGCTGCTGCTGTTGTGGTGACTCGGAGACTCGCCCTGTCCCGCGCGCTCCCCCCTTCCCCTCCCCAGCCCCGGTCCCCGGCTCCCTTCCCCTCCCCCCCCTTCTCTTGCCTTTTCCCCTGCCCTTGGTAGCCGCCGGGACCCGGGGAAGCTGACAAGGCCTTAGGGAAGGTGAGAAATGCGGGAGTGGCGGGAGAACCGCGGATCTGGGGCCGGGAGTGAGCGGGTACTGCTACAGCTGTAGCCTAAAATGGCGGCTGCCCAGAGTGGCCGCCATTTTCTTGTCAGTTGCTTGTCTGTTTCTCCCGCACAAAATGGCGGCACGGGCCGGCGGTCGCTCTCGCTGCCGGCTTTGCGAGCTCCGCCGCCGCTGAGCAAAGGGGGGGAGGAGCTCGGCGGCTCCCGCCGGGCGCGGAGGGGAAGCTGAGCGGCAGCGTTGCAGGTTAGAGCGGGGAGACGGGACCGGGCGGTGCCTGTCCGTACGGGCCGTGCCTTTAATGGCCTCGGCTCGATTGCGGGATGGTGGTCTGGCCGCGGTCTGCGGGCGCCCGCACTGCCCCCCAGATTTCCCTCGGAGGGAGAAGCCGCGGCACACATAGCGGGCTGCGGTCTGAGGATCCACATTGCTGGTGGGGAGGTGACGAGAGGATTTTCTAATTTTTTTTTTTTTTTTTTTTTTACTATTGTTCACTGGCTTTTCTTCGCGCGAGTGGAGAGCGGGCTGCCGAAGCGCCGCGTCAGCCGCCTCGCCCATGTTTCCTGTTTGGGGGCTCGGGCGCCGCGGTGCGGGGCGATACCGCCTGCTTCCCCCTCGTGTCTCCCGGGGCGGCCGCCGTGGTGCGGGGGAGCGGGTCCCGCCCGGCGCCCTGGCGGAGAACAAAGAGCCGGGCGGGCGCGGGCAGCGGGCGGCGCCCGCCGGGCGGGGCGGGGGGGCGGCGGCGCCGCGCGGCGCCTGCGGGGGGCGCCCTCTGCGGCCGAGCCTTTTGTTCGCCGCCGCGGCTGCCGCCATGTTGTGGCCGCTCCGCGTGCCCGCGCCGGGCGGGCGGGGGGCACTCGCCGCGCTCGGCTCCGAGAGGGCTGCGGGCGCATCCGGGACACTCCCCGGCTTCCCTCCCTTGGGCGTTTCTGTCCCCGTGCTCGCCGTTCCGCTACGTGAGCCATGCAGTGAGGTTCTTTATGCAAGCTGAAAGTTGAGGTAGTGGGTGGGCGGTGCATTTCTTTCGGTATTTGGTGGCTTAGTACGCCATTTGGACGCAGGATACACGCCTTTTACCGCATTAAGCCTGCGTGTTGTTGTCTGATGCTTTTCAGAATTCGGCTGCTTTTTTGTACCATTATAAATCATAGTTTCTAAATCACGTCAGTAAAGGACTCACTGTGCTATTTAAAAGAAAAAAATACTTGCGTTCTTTCCTGCGGGTACTCTTGCCTTTTGGATAAACTTGAGGGTTTTTGCTCAGTCTATGGTTCCCTTGTCTCTTTGCCCTCACCCTCGCTGGGAAACATGGCTAGAATGATGAAATTGGCCTTTCTGTGACTGTCCCAAAGTATTGCATGAATGGAAGTTTTCTTAATTTTTGTAAAGTTCACTGTTGGAGGGTTCTCGTTGGCGGGCAAACGTTTGTGCTTTTTAAAGTTAAATGCTATGGCTGATAGTAAACAAATATAATATGAATGCTTGGTTTGTCTTTCTAGGTTTTGTTTTTCCCTACCCCGTCAATTTAATTTTATTCTTTTGAAGATTCTTCGTTGTCAAGCCGCCAAAGTGGAGAGTGCGATTGCAGAAGGGGGTGCTTCTCGTTTCAGGTACCCTTTGTTTGTTTGATGAGTAGTTAGCCATGGAAAATCTCCTTGTGTAATGTTTATACCAAAATGGAGATGTTTGGACTTACCCAGGTTTCTATGGTTGTTTTTAACAGTGCTTCTTCAGGCGGAGGAGGTGGTAGGGGTGCACCTCAGCACTATCCCAAGACTGCCAGCAACAGGTATGTCATCTTGCTCTTTGACTTGCATGACTTCAAAGTCAGAGCATGCTTGATAATGAATACAGAACTGAGAATGGGCTAGCTTTAAAGTTTTACCAGAAATACCTACCAGAAATACCTACTGAGTTAAAGAGCTTTAAGTGTTTTCCAGTCTGTGCCCTTTAAAGTGTACCTCATGGTTGATAGGCAGTGCATGGGCATGGGGTTGTTATGTATTTAACTTAGAAAGTGTGGAGGGTATTTTTGGGTCCCAGGCATTGTTGTTGAGTATTTTCCTATGCAGCAGATGTTGCAGTGTTGGTAGGGGTAACTATGTGCTCTTAACAAAGCAAGTAATGGAATTGCTTTGAGTAAGGCATCACTGAAGGGTTAAAAGGGCAGTTCTGTAAATCACTTGTTTCTGTTTTAACAACCGTATTCTTCAAAATTTTGCAGCGAGTTCCTGGGGAAAACCCCAGGGCAAAACGCTCAGAAATGGATTCCTTCACGAAGCACTAGACGAGATGACGACTCCGCAAACGACAAAGAACGACATGATGCAATCTTCAGGAAAGTAAGAGGGTAAGTTCCTCACAAAATTACTTCTTTCCTTACTGTTTTCATTAGCAATGTGTACCTAAGAAATAGGCTGGAGGAAAGGAAGATGTGGGCCTTGAGTTTGGGGGAAGTGTGTCCTTTAGCAAGGAACCAGCCTGGTAATCTAGCAGCAGAAAACACTTCAAGTAATTATTGTAAGCAGATTAGTATTTTCAGTGGTACTTCACTGAATCTGAAGATCTTAAAAAAAACCAGTTGAATGGAAAATTGCACTTTTCAAAAAAAATAAGTTGAGTCTAAAGTGACTCGTAGCATGCTTAGAGTGTCTTTATATTCTGATTTTGGGTTTTTTTTCCTCTTTAGCATACTAAATAAGCTTACTCCTGAAAAGTTCGACAAGCTATGCCTTGAGCTCCTCAATGTGGGTGTAGAATCTAAGCTCATCCTAAAAGGGGTCATACTGCTGGTAAGCTGGTTGCATTTCTTTTATCTACAGTTTTCTTGCATGCTGGAAAGCCAGGGGTTGGTTTGTTTTGATGGGATACAGAAGTAGCATGAATAATGCTTTTGTGTACTTGGATTATCAAACACCATGTCCCACCCCTGCTTTCTGTGTAAAAAAGGATCTACTGGGGAGGAAGTAGGTTTAATGGTTTGAGTTTCTCATTTAGAAGTCTTCCCAATGACTAAACATGATTGGGCTTCTATGATTATTTTTTAAAATAAACTGAGGTGTGAGTTAGCCATCTTACTTGCTTGGCCTCCCCTTCTTCCTCTTTCCTGAGGAGCAAGCCACTTGATTTTGGGAAGGCAATCACTGGTGATCTCTGGGGACACTGATGCAACTATTACATCACTTTCTTTAAACGAGATCAGATTTGTGATATTAATGTCGGTGTTGGCATAATAAACTTGAGTTTTGTAGCCAAGGATTACAGAGCCTCTTCAGTAGCAAGCAGTGGCTTTTGTCCTTTGCTTCAGCATGGAGACTGGTGTTGGACTACAATGCTTCTGTGCTTGATTAAGCAGGAAACAGGATGTTCTAGATGAGGGTGGTAATAATCCATTCTGTGTCTTGTAACTCAGTCTCCTAATAACATTTGCACCCTCCTGCTGCTTGCTGCCTTACTCAACCTGGCTCTCTGCAGATCGTAGACAAAGCCCTTGAAGAGCCCAAGTATAGCTCGCTGTACGCTCAACTATGTCTGCGACTGGCAGAAGATGCACCCAACTTTGATGGCCCATCAGCAGAGAGTCATCCAGGACAGAAGCAAAGCACAGTGAGTGCATCTCTTAATCTGCAATGGTAAATTTTGGGTGCATTTGTAGCTGCCCTGATTAGCTTAATTGTTTTCTTTGTTCTCTCTTTGTAGACATTCAGACGCCTCCTAATATCTAAACTTCAAGATGAATTTGAAAACCGAACCAGAAATGTTGATAGTAAGTTTTAGAACCGCTTTAATACAGAATCTATTTGTCATCTTTTCCCACAGCCGTGTAAAACAGGCTTCTTTGTTTTCCAGTCTATGATAAGCATGATGGTCCCCTCCTCCCTGAGGAGGAGGAACAGAGAGCCATTGCCAAGATCAAGATGCTGGGGAACATCAAATTCATTGGAGAACTTGGCAAGCTTGATCTTATTCATGAATCTATCCTTCATAAGTGCATCAAAACAGTGAGTATTCAGATTGGGAGGAAGCTAGGAGCAAAACAGAACTTAAAAAGAAAAAATATGCAAATATTGATGCTGCTTTGAGAATCTCGGTGCAGGAGCATAAAATGGCACAAAAATGTTTCCTGATGATTGCTCATCCCCTACTGTTATCTTATGGCATGATTAAGAAGTAAAACCAGCCTTGTTCAATGCCATAGGAATTGTCTCAAAAGGAAAATGAGCACAAAAGTGTGCTGTAGGTGCTTGAAACTACACACACTTAAAAATTGGCAGATCTTAATTTTAATTTTTAAGTCCATTTCCCTTCAGAACAAAACAATATTTTTTTAAATGTCAGTGTACAAAGTTTGTCGTTTATTATAAATTGTCATTTATAAAATTTTTAAATCCTAAATTTCCCCTTTAATTTTTCAGCTTTTGGAAAAGAAGAAGAGAGTTCAACTCAAAGATATGGGGGAGGATTTGGAGTGCCTCTGTCAGATAATGAGGACAGTGGGACCTAGATTAGATCATGCGAAAGCCAAGGTATGTGCCTATCTAGTGCAGTCATTAACCTAATTAAATTATGTGGCTAAAACTTGATTGCCTGAACCTTCTGTATTTAGTATTCATAGGTACAAAACAGAGGTTTGATTTTTTTTTTTAGAGAAAAGAGTTCCCACTATGGCTTCCAGACTAATTCTCTTGATAGAAAAAACAGTTTTAAACATTTCACCAGGATGTAGTTAGGGTCATCATGAAATATCTAAGTGAGAGTGTTGTTTTTCTAAACACTGTTTGAGAAGATGTGCTGAGGAACTATTCTTAGCACAGCTAGATGATTTGAGACATGAGAGTTTGGAATGTAAGCTTGAAACGAACAGAATTTTGGCTGTCTTGCTTATCTCTGATTCAAATGTCTTGATGCATTAGTTCTTTAGACTATGTCATCAAGGAGCTAGAGATAGCAGGAAAGGGCAGCTTGTTGCATTATTTTGCCTTGAATGTCGTGAGTGAAAACACTCAAGGCACTGATAGGATAATTCTAACTTGTAACGTTTGTTCCCCCAGTCCTTAATGGATCAGTACTTTGCCCGTATGCGCTCCTTGATGTCAAGTAAGGAATTGCCAGCAAGGATTCGTTTCCTGCTGCAGGTATGATGATTAAATGGCTTCCCGCTGCTTTTTGTTTTCCTTGCAAAATGGTCTTGAATCCTTTCCTAATAGCCTGTTCTGTTCCAAGGATACTGTGGAGTTGAGAGAACACAACTGGGTTCCTCGCAAAGCTTTTCTTGACAATGGACCAAAGACTATCAATCAAATCCGTCAAGATGCAGTAAAAGTGAGTGTTGTGTGTAAGGTCCAGAGCCTGCCTTCGCGCTCTGCACTTGGGAGTAGTTCTCACACAGTGTCACAGTTGGCTTAAGGGTTAAAACCAGATGGACTTCTGTAGTTGGGGGCTAAAAGCTTTGCTTTCTTGGGGCTGCTACTTGAAACTGACCAAAATTGTAATTCCTGTTTTAAAGGATCTGGGAGTTTTTATTCCTGCTCCTATGTCTCAAGGGATGCGAAGCGACTTCTTTCTGGAGGGACCCTTCATGCCACCCAGGATGAAACTTGACAGGGACCCACTCGGAGGGCTTGCTGATATGTTTGGACAAATGCCAGGTACCCTGACACCACAGAGTGATGGGGTGGCTGTGGCTCTGCTGTGCTGAATAAGACTTAAAACTGTCATTTGTCTCCTTGCTGATCCAGGTAGCGGAATTGGTACTGGTCCAGGGGTTATTCAGGATAGATTCTCACCCACCATGGGACGCCATCGTTCAAACCAACTCTTCAATGGCCATGGGGGTCACCTCATGCCTTCTGCTCAATCCCAGTTTGGAGACCTAGGCAAATCTTTTCTGAAAAGTCAGGTAAGGAAGCTGTTTGCATGGTGACTTCAGCTTGTTTAGAAGCACTTCCTGAGATGCGTATGTTATGGATTAAAATCTGCTTATGTTAAAAGACCTATTCAGATTTGATTCTGATAACTGATGCTCAGCTGATACAAACATTCTAAACCACTTTTTAAATAGTACAAAAAGATGCAAGAAGTACACTTTTTTTTTTTAACTGCAAGAAAAGGTGCATGTGGCTTTGGTGGGTCAGAACGGTGTGCTTTATTTAAAAGATGGCCCTGTTTTTAGGGATAGATGCTATTCTCCCACCACCCCTGCTCCTTCTTTCTCCCTTCCTGGCAAATAGAATCTTTGTTCCTCTGGTCCCTCTGGTACTACTTACCAAATGATGTACGCCACTCCATCATCTGCACTTCTTTCTCTATATCTCCCTTTCTGAAATAGGGGCAAAGCCAACTCTACCATACCCAGAATCAGGGACTCTTATCCCAGCAACAAGGACAGTCGAAGGATATGCCACCTCGGTTTTCTAAGAAAGGACAGCTTAATGCAGATGAGGTACATGACATGCCTACATTATTTACAGCCTATTCTAAATATTGCCCAATGATTATAGCAAGACGCGTTATTATGAGGACTAATGCTGGAACTCTTTCTCCTCCTCTTCATTCTCCTCCTTCTTTGTCCCTTCCTCTTTCACCTTTTACCCCCCTCACTTTCCTTAGGGTATCCAGCGTCCTATGAGCAAGACTGAGATATGAGGGCAATTTTTTGGGGTGTCCTTTCCTTCCCACACACTTCTAAGAACACTACTCTGACATCAGTTCCCATGCATCCTATTGATAAAACATTTAATTAAAACTTCAGAAAATCCTGAACTTTAGAAACCCTGAAGTGCTGGACCAGGTTAATTTTTTTTTTTTAATTTTCTTTTGTTTAGAACTGGCTAATAGGCAAAATTTCAAATGCAGAGTAAACTGCATTGTGATTTTGAGTGTTAACCAGACTTGTATCCCGATTTCTGAGCAATTTGGTAGAGTTTCATTTTGGCTGTAAAATACATCGGCAAGCATGCTGATTATCTTCTTGGGTCTCTAACATACTGCATCTAAAAGGAGCATTTCCAGATTTTTATAGTAGTTGAACTAAATGCCAGTAATTTGCTTTTGGGAGCGTTTCAGAACACATGTGGCTTTATCTGTATTTGAGTATTAATATTGTAGAAATTAAATCATGCTTCAGTGAGATAAGTTGGAGCGAGTCCATGGCTGTGTATTGTTGGTCAGATTACTAGAAACAGTTTGAGTTTTTCTTTGACTTACTTACTGTTTACAGATTAGCCTGAGACCTGCTCAGTCTTTCCTGATGAATAAAAACCAAGTGCCAAAGCTTCAGCCCCAGATAACTATGATTCCTCCCAGTGCTCAACCACCACGCACTCAGACACCGCCTTTGGGACAGGTAAATACAAAAAATTCCTGCATGTTTTTGGCTATACTTTCCTGTTTGTGCTTGGAAAACTTAATTTCATATGTGGGGAGAGAGAAGTCTTTGATTGAACAGAGCAGGACTTGGGAAAAGAATGTATGAAACCAAACTAATTTGAGTTCCATCTGCTTTTTATGTTTTGTATTGTAAAACTTTATATAAGCAAAGGTAGATGTGCTACAAAGAAACAAATTCTGGTCTCTTTTTCAGCCGCCTCAACTTGGTCTTAAAACAAATCCACCGCTTATACAAGAGAAGCCTGCAAAGACCACCAAGAAACCACCTCCTTCTAAGGAAGAGCTACTTAAGCAAACTGTAAGTTAGTGTGCAGTAGTGAATCTTAGAGCTTTGGATGTGATCTTCAAAAAGAATGTTTAACTGTGTTTCTTTCCTCTCCAGGAGGCTGTTGTGACTGAGTATCTGAACAATGGAAATGCTAATGATGCTGTCAATACTGTGAGAGAAATGAGAGCTCCGAAACACTTCATTCCTGAGATGCTGAGCAAAGTAATCCTTCAATCCCTAGATAGATCAGATGAGGACAAAGAGAAAGCAAGTACTTTGATCAGCTTGCTCAAGCAGGAGGGAATAGCCACCAGTGACAACTTCATGCAGGTATTGTGGTCTGATAATATTGCAGTTCTTGTTTCTTGGCTCTTCATGGTGTTGAGCTGCTGTAAAGGCAGTGTGCAAATATTTTTTTTAACTCCTAATCTGAGGAGGTAAAAATAGTATGTGAACCTGTGAGGGGCACAAGAAGCAATAAAAGGAAGACATGCAGTAATTAGGCAGCTGGAACCTGGGATCCTCTTTGCAAGTGATTACAGAAAACATACTCATGATGAGTATTATGTTGCACAGGAACAGAATTACTTAGGAATTTCATCTTGTGTGTTTATTGTTTCTTAGGCATTCCTGAATGTATTGGACCAGTGCCCCAAACTGGAGGTGGACATCCCATTGGTGAAATCCTACTTAGCACAGTTTGCAGCCCGTGCCATTATTTCAGACCTGGTGAGCATTTCCGAACTGGCTCAACCACTGGAAAGTGGCACCCATTTCCCTCTCTTCCTGCTCTGTCTTCAGCAGTTAGCTAAGTTACAAGACCGTGAATGGCTAACAGAACTGTTCCAACAAAGCAAAGTGAATATGCAGAAAATGTTACCAGGTAAGATTTGCCACAGAGCTCTTCTGTTACCTGATCCTAGAGTAAGTGAGATGTTCTAGTTTATGCCGGAGTGAAATAATCTGCAGGGTTCTCTTGGTGGAATTAGCTGTCATCATTGTTAGGAATGATGTTTCTTAAGGGGTGGCTGGAGCATGGACCATCACTTAGAGCTCTCGAGAAGTGCTTAACACGTGTCTTTGTTTCCTTGTCAGAAATTGACCAGAACAAGGACCGCATGCTGGAGATCTTGGAAGGGAAGGGGCTTAGCTTCTTGTTCCCCCTTCTGAAACTGGAGAAGGAACTGCTAAAGCAAATAAAATCGGATCCATCCCCTCAAGCCATCTATAAGTGGATTAAAGATAACATTTCACCCAAGCTTCATGTAGATAAGGGATTTGTGAATATATTGATGACCAGGTGGGATGCTGTTCTGACATATTTTTAGGTATTTGTTTGGTTAAGCTACCAGTAAGGCACTAATTCTGTAAAGGCTCAAATGTAGCTCTGCAGAAGTCTGAGATGCAGTACATGGGGAGACAATGTTCTGAGTGAACCTTCTCTAGTAAAATCCCATTGTATTTGAGAAGAAAGGCAAGTCTCCAGGCTTGCATCAGTATGTGAAGTGGTTTCTTGGGCAGGAAGTCTAGATCCATGTGCTTTTCTAAAATGTAGAGCTGTAACAAAAGCAGAACAAGGATTTTTCTGGTGCACTCTCAACCATAGTACAAGTCCCTATGCTTGCTCCCTGACTGCAGGTGGAAGCAGGATAGTTGCAGTGAAATCTGAACTTTATATATGTCAAGTGCTTTGATCTCTTATAGAACTTAGTTTGGCTTTTCTTCTGTCCAGTTTCTTGCAGTATATTTCTAGTGAAGTAAACCCACCCAGTGACGAATCGGATTCTTCATCTGCTCCATCCAAAGAGCAGCTCGAGCAGGAAAAGCAGCTGCTTCTTTCCTTCAAGCCAGTGATGCAGAAGTTCCTCCACGACCATGTTGATCTGCAAGTGAGTGCTTTATATGCACTCCAGGTGCACTGCTACAACAACAATTTTCCAAAAGGTAAGTACATTGAGGTCTCACTTGAATTGGCTTGTCCCTACATTTCTTAAAATTCAGCAAGTGGTTGAGAAGGTTATAAAGCTAACCAAGTTTAAATTGACTTTCATAGGCATGTTACTGCGCTTCTTTGTTCATTTCTATGACATGGAGATCATTGAAGAAGAAGCCTTCTTGGCATGGAAAGAAGACATTACTCAAGAGTTTCCAGGGAAAGGCAAAGCTTTATTCCAGGTAAATCTCTTAATATTAGAATAGAGACTTGTTTTTTTGTTATTTCTGCTGCACTGGAGTGTTTGAGAAGACTGCTGAAGCGTGTAAGACTTGTAAATATCTAGAATCTTCCTGCACTATTCCACTAGGAGCAAGATTACTTAAATCTCTCCTATTGACTGGAGGCCTATGTGTAGTGCAAATATGGATGAAAGTTCTTTGAGACTGGGGGAGGGGAAGATGAGTGTTTTGTGGAAAAACCTAATGGGGAAACAATTCCTGCTCCCTTAAACCAGTTTTGTGTAACTGCAGGTAAACCAGTGGTTAACCTGGCTGGAAACTGCTGAAGAAGAAGAATCTGAAGAAGAAGCTGACTAAAGAACCAGCCAAAGCCTTAAATTGTGCAAACATACTGTTGCTATGATGTAACTGCATTTGACCTAACCACTGCGAAAATTCATTCCGCTGTAATGTTTCACAATATTTAAAGCAGAAGTATGTCAGTAGGATATTCTCTGCAAAAGGTTTTTGTAGTATGTCTTAATAGTCTACAATAAAAATATTTTAGAGTATCTTCAATGTTTAGATAACAGTGTATTAGCAGCATGCAATAATTACATCATAAGTTCTCGAGCAGAAGCAGTCTGTTGCAAGGGTCTTCTTTGCTGCCAGTTATCATAGGCTGTTTTTAAGTTAGAAACTGAATAGCAACACTGAATACTGTAGAAATGCACTTTGCTCAGTGTAATACTTGAGTTGTTGCAATATTTGATTATCCATTTGGTTGTTACAGAGAATCCTTAACTGTAATCGATGGTTGTTGCCGTAATAGTATATTTGCCTGTATTTCTACCTCTAGTAATGGGCTTTATGTGCTAGGTTTTAATATCCTTGAGCCTGGGCAAGTGCACAAGTCTTTTATAAAAGGAACAGTTTACTTGCACAAAAACTGATCGGCTGAAGAGATGGTTTAATGCCCTTTGGAAGAGGTTTTTGTGGGTGTGAAACATGACATGGTAAGAAATTTGAATTGGTCCCTCTTACAGTACTGAAATTAAGTCTATTAATTTATCAAGACATGTTCATGCCCTGATTTTATATACTTGTATCTATCAATAAACATTGTGATACTTGACTTGTTTCTGAATGTCTCCCAGTAGAAAAGCTTTGGCTGATGACTTGTTCATTTAAGAAATGAAACATCAGTGGGAGTTGCCTTAGGTTGCAACTATCCTGAAATTATTTTTACACTCCTTGTCTGGATATGCAGATGAATTCTAAATAAAGTCACAGACAAGGAAGACACTACAGATGTGTTGTGACAGGAGGAGAAATGATGGAATTCTGCTGAAGAGATGGTAGGGGTTTGCCTTGTGGTCCAATGTATGCTTTATCAGTGAGTATGTGCTTTTGACTTGGTTAATGCTTTGAGCTTCCCCCCAGGCCACATGCATGTTTCTGAATCAAGTGGCACTGTCTATTAGCTGCCTGTTTCTCAAATCAAATTGGCAAAAAAAATGCCTACAAAAGAGTTAAATGATGTTGCATTGTACAGGCTTGAAATGTCATCTATTAAATACTCAAAACACCTTACTTCCTAGAACCTGTCCCCAGTGAGTTTTTTTTTGTCCTCATTGATACTCAAGACTTACATTCTTGAAAGGTGATAAATTTCTAGTGGCAAAAGGGTAGTGGCTCCTGGACTGGAGCGTTTTTGCCAGTGGTGTGAGTGCTGTAGCCTGTAAACTGTTACACAGCACAGGAAGTGAAGTGGAGCCCAAGAGAAGGACTAGAGCTGATAACTAGGCTTGCTTTGAGCAAAGGGAGAGTTGGAGTGGGCAGTGGAGCACCTTGTAACACAGCAGCTGGCAAGGTCATGGTTTGCTTGGAAGGGCTCCCTAGCTCCAGTCACAGCTCTACCCTCCGGAGTGTTCTGAGCCATGGTCTGTCAGGGAGTTCTGCTACTGCCCTGAGAGCTCCTATGCAGTGTGGAGCCCAGGAGCTACAGGGACTCTGCTCTACAAGCCAAATGACATAAAGGGTATTGAGCTTGAATGGCTGGCAGAATTCATGGCACCACCCCTGCATTTCAGAAATTGGGTGTATCCAGCAGTTGGAGGGAGAGCAGGGGATACTGGTGTGGGTGGGGTCCAGTTCAGGAATGCTTCAAATGCAGTTCAGTGGCTCGAGGTTGAGAGCTGGCTGTGTTTGATGGAGCTGCAACTCCTGGGTGGCAGTGGTGAGCACTGACATCCTGGGGCTTCCCAGAACACTTAGTGATAAGTTGTTCCTCTGAAACTCATGACTTTCCTATCTATGGAGTGACACAGCCATTGCTAGAACTACAGGGCTGCAGGCTCAGCAGGTGCACGTGTGCTATAGGCACTAAGGTTCTGCAGTTCAGTACTCATTTAACAGGATGGACGAATGCAAGTACAGTTACAGGATTAATTTAATCCTAACTATTTTGAAATTCTGTTCTAGAATTGCTTTTTCAAGTGTAACAAGGTGCTGTGAAGTGAAATTTACCATTGTTTCACTAAGAGTGTTGTGTTTTTTCAAGTTTGTCAGTTTCTCCTTGAGCTCTGCTGTTACTGCTGGTTGGTTTAGTGGTGTATGGTGCTATAATACTTCCTGTGTACATGGTTATCTCTATGTGAAGCATGTGCTGCACTTTGCTCCTGTGCCCTGCAGAGGGAAGATGGAGAGGAACTGCAAGGCAGGAAAGAGTGGTTTCCAGCTCAGGTTATATCAGAGGTGAGAGGAGAAGGTAGAAGGATGTGCAAGTAAAAACTTGGGAATAGATCCAGAAGCTGCAGCTAAGCTTTTCTGCCACATTTTGGAGAAGGCTGAGCTGGCAGCTCTGGGCTCCTTGCCACAGTAACTAAGCCTTGTATTCTTGCCCAGTCTGACATGTCTTTACTACAGCCTTATGTACCTGTGCATGGAGGCTTTGCTGCTTGGCTTGTTTCTAACTGACCACTGAGTTAGGAACTCTGGTAGAGAAAACTATAGGAAGAACAACTAAAAATGCAGAATAGAACATAAACAGTAGAAAATGCCACAAAAAGGTGGAATTACCGTCACGTAACTTGGAGAATCCTCAGGCAGTGTGAACAGCTCTGGGTTCTTCAAACTGGTGTAAAAATGGTGCTTACTGCAGTGTGCACATCAAAGTGGTCTCTCTATAGATGAGGAGAGGTGGTAGCATCTTCACAATCTTTACTGCTGCTGAAGTTTTGAAGTGCTCAAGTGCAAAACCTGTGGCTAATCTGGAACAGGGATGGCTGTTGGTTGGTCTCACTTCTGTGTTCCTGTTAACTATGAGTGGTGTTGTACTTAAAATGTAAACAGAGTGCTTAATTCTACATGGTAAAGTCACAGTCAAAATTAAACCACTGTAACTAATTATAATGGCTTCTATTAATATTATTTTTGTTAAGGGTTGGGTATAATTATACTGCTAGGAGCATTGGGAGAAACTGCATTTTACACATATTTCCTACCACTTATAGCAACTCAGTTGATACTCTGAAATTCTGAATTAGGTTGCAGTTGCTATTCAGGAACCCTCACCCTGTCAAGGGTGGGATGGATTTTGAGAAGGACCTGTCATGGTGAATTCTCACCTGCTCCTAGAGAGTGTCACACTGTGGTTGGACAGCTGCTGCCTTGTCACTGGTCATAGCAGTAGGCTGCCATCTGTCCAAGCTGCAGTGGTGCTTAGGTGTATGAAATCTGAAAATTCCAGGAATGTGTTCTGAATCCTGGAAAATCATCTATTCTAGCCCCTCTGTGATGTGCAGAGATACCTCCCAAAGAGACCAGCTTGCTCAAAGTTTCATTGAGCCTGGCCTTGAACAGTTACAGGGATGGGGCAGCCACAGGTTGTCTGGGAGCCTGTTCAGTGTCCACCACCTTCATAGTACAGAATTTCTTCCTTTTACCTCACCTAAACTCTTTTAGAAGCCATTCCCCCTTGTCCTGTCAATACCTGCCCTTGTCAGAAGTCCCTCTCCAGCTCTCTTGTAGCAGAACCTTACACAAGCTCAACAACCCCAGCTTCAGCCTCTCCCCCTGGGAGGGCTGTTCCAAATCACCTGATCAGGTCCTAAAAGTCAAAACACCTCCATGACTCCTATGCAATTCTGTTTCTTGGGGAACAGTGCAGGAAGAAGCCTTATGGTGTATGGGAAAAGGTAGAGGCTGGGTCCAGAACAAAATTTTTAGAATGGCTTATCTGACCTGCTTTTTGAGCAGATGGAAGCTTTCCTCTGAATGCTGTTTGGACTTGGAGTGCTTTTTCCCTTTTTCCCCAGAGCAGTGTGTAAATCCAAACAATTTGATCATTTCAGTGCACTCCTGAACAGTACAAATTTAGAACACATCTGAACCATGAATTATCATGGCTTATGTTGCAACCCAGGCAAGCAGCTGCAAGACTGATTAAAAAAGAGTCTCTTGCTAATTCATGCTTATTCTCAAAAGTGAATTCCCAGGGAGGTGGTACAGCAGCGTGAAGGGTGGTGGGCTTGTGCTCACAGGTACCTGAGAAACCCCCATTTATCAGCTGTGGTTGCCACAGTGTTTGCTTCAAATGCTGCTCAGCTCCAGCCTTGTCCTGGTGTGGGGGGTGTGCAAGGGCTTGGCTATGTGGCACCACTGATGTTACAAAGATTCCCCTAAATTTGGGATGAGGTCCATACTTGGGAGCTGATAAATAGCCATGGTGCATCTCCTACATCAAATGATTTAAATGAATATGAAAAGGGACAAGAGAGTGAGTCTAGTGGCAGAATGGGTCTAAGTGTCACACAAAGGTAGTGGCTTTCTCCCTCACCTCACATAAATCTCCTGTAAATTGATTACTGCTCCTCTTTTATCTCCAATGCTGTTGGCCAGAGAACCAGAGCACACAGCAAGTCCTCTTGTTCAGCAGGCAGGGACGGGCTCCGTTCAGGGGGCAAGGTCCTGTGGGCACAGCTCTAGCTTGGGATGATTTTATCTCCACACATCGCATCTGGAAAAGTGAAACAGAAACAGCAGCTGAGCTGGGAGCTGTGCTCTGTGACAGCAAAGGGAAAAGCTGCACAGCTACAGTTGCAGGCATCAGATGTAACAGTAATTTAAAGGAGACTCTATCAACATGGCTTTGAGGTTTTTTTTTAATGCCGGGGTGGTTCTACATACAACACAAAATATACCCCAAAAATCTTCTCAGTACTTCAGAAATAGCTGTATTTGTTATCCAGCAAGATACAAGCTGGTTACAGTATCTCCCTGGATCCACCCCTATCCTGGCATTTCAGAATAAGCTTCACTTCTAAAAGACCAAGAATTCTCCCAAACAGGTTCAGGCCTTTCCCTCTGACAGTCAGGGACTAAGATTCTTCAGGCAGGAATTCCTTGAATAATGTGCCTTTTAAATGGTGCTGTAAAGGCACACAGGCTTGTCTGGGTTTGATTTAGGGAGCCCACATCCCTTTCCTTTAAGGGAGGGGAGTTGGAGAGGAGTGAACTGTTATTTTTAATGAGTTGACGAAGCAGCCATGGCAACGGTTACACTTGGCATGGATACATGGCTGGAGTGAGGAAAGCAGCCAGCTGAGGGGATTTTTATCTTCAAATATTTTGCAGTTTAGAACAACGTCAATCTTGCATTTAGTTTTTGTTTATGTTAGCAGTAGAAGTGCTTGAAGAATCTGATGTGTGAAGTATTCCCAGAATTTTATTATTTAAGAAGCTGTGTAAAACCATTCAACTTTGTGAAAGGAAAAGGGATCTTTAACTGGTTTGATAGTGTGGAGGAGTTTATAGTTTGCTCTGTTACAAAATGGATGCTTCTCTTTTTGGTAGGACAAAGTGAAATTTGAGACATGGAAGTACACAGAGTTAAAACTGAAAGACAGGTGAAGGCTTGATCTGCCTTTCTTCAGGGATTTTGTTTAACCCTTTAAGAAATGATTGCATGTCCTTTCAGATTTCAGAGACAGCTGCCTCCACAGCAGAGTAACAAACAAAGCTCCAGGCACATGCAGCAGGCCAGCTTTGTGTTCCTTTCCAGTTCCTTCCCATAAAGCAGGGGAAGGATTTAAGCCTTGTGTTTTTCTATTTGTACAGATATACACACATACA